TGGGGCGGCCATGGGGCGGCCATGGGGCGGCCATGGGGCGGCCATGGCGGCCGAGCTGGACACTTCAACTCGCAGGCCAAGGAATTCCGAGGCTTGACCTCTACACTAGCAGAGCTGCATCTATACACACAAGAACATGAGGGGAGGGAAACGGTGGAGGTACCTGAGGCATTCTTTGGACTATCCCTGGATAATCAGCTTTGGGTTGGGAAATCCTAGTAGCGTCCGATCGCTCCGTTCGTAGCGATGCCCTTTGTTCCGTTCGTAGCTTCTTGTTACTACTGGTATGGCCAGGAGCTAGAAACGTAGCTTCTTGCTCCTAGTAGTAAGGCACTTGTTTCTAATAGCTTCTTGTTACTACTAGTAAGGCACTTGTTACTACTAGCGTGGCACTTGTTCCTACTAGCGTGGCACTTGTTCCTACTAGCGATGCACTTGTTACTACTAGCGATGCACTTGCTCCTAGTCCCTCGAGATTTCCCCAAGATCCCGTGCAACATGTCTTTTCGTCGCTTCACCTTTCGTGCCACACGTGCGCTGGGGCCATCGCCGCTGGTGAAAGCGATCACCGCAGGGCCAGCGCCGGACAAGCACCTGAAGGCGAACGCGAGTGCGGGATTGACGCCGAGGGTCGGTGACCGTCCGTCTGCGCGCGGCATGAGAAACCAAGCGGCATAAGATCAACATCCTTTTCGACCAAATTCTGACACATTCATGTCCTTGTTGGTTTTGGATCATGGATGGAAGTGGATGCTTGTTCTGATTCTGTGCTCTACGTTGGAGTTCCGTTAACATTCGCAAGGTGAGCAGCTAGTTGAAAAACCGGTGATTCATGCCAAAAACGTGCCAGTGGGTTCAGAAGTTGATCTTCCTACAACAAGCGGGTGCTCGGTTGCGTTAGGGGCCTCTGCCTGCACTGATATACCAATACTGAGCATGGGCAAAAGCAAGGGTTCCTACTGCAACGCCTCCGCCTTCATTGTCAGACTGGCATTGAGAAGCTCTCCAGCTCTTTCAATTGTCGATTTGGTTTGCTCGTGAGGCTCCACGTCCAGCCACTCCCTTTCCCTACCCCGACTGCCCAGTCAGCATCGCTGCATCGCTCTCCTTTTGAGCTAACATCGGGTTTCTGGCTCATTCGTCGCCTAGGTGCAACGCATGAGAGTTTGTGTCCAAACAAATCACGACAGAATACTGAGCACTCCTCATGTTGAGTTTCATTAAGGTAACGGAAAGTGCGGGAAGTGAGATGAAAATGAACAATGTCTGTTTTCTTGGCGCTGCCGCAATTGAAAAACACAAACACGCTATGAGCCCAACGGACCTCGGGGATTGACCGTCCCAACACCCAGGACCATGCCATACCGATTCACATCAAACTGGCGATTCTGCTTGGGCCAGGACTGTCAACTTCAGTTAAGCACTCCTGACGTATCCCGGCTGAACTGAGCTGCACGAAAGGCCAAGCACACCATGAAAGAAAATTGAAGGAATGAGCATGCTTTTCAGCGCATCTCCACGCCTTCCGCAGGAAGGGATGATGTATGGCGCGATCGGCAGTGAGCCGCGAAGCCGGGTCGATGGAAAGCAAGCCTTGCGAGCTGGGACGGACCGAGTGCCCATCTCTGACAAAAACGGATCGTGAATGCATAATTAATAATATGTACATATGTACATATGTATATGCCATCCGCCTCACACACAAAAAGTGCATTTTCCGAGAATTTAGATAAATATGTTGTCACATATTTCACATACACAATATGTAACATCTCTAGGTTCATCCCATGCTCGAGCTTCACCTCCCTAGTGCCAAGGCAATGAAAGCAATGATTCCGAAAACCGGTTTGGTCCATGTCATGTGCATTTGCTATCTTTGTGGAAGCTGCGCCTTCTAAGAAGGAAAGGAAGTCGTGGTGTCTGTCCAGGACAAACCTGAGAGCAGCAAGCCAGCCAAGATCAAGCCAGCAAATACATCAACTCATTGGCCAAGAACACTAACAACTGCACTACAAACACCAAAACGCAAGCAAAACCATAATCACTTGATGTGCTCAAGGCAGGGTTGTTGCATAGCATTCACCAATCAATCCTAGACCATCTGTTCTTACTTCAGTCATTGGCACATCGTGACCTAGAGGACTCGGCTGCCGTAACTAAGCAAGCCACGCTTTCTCAGGTGAAGATTCATGGCTCATCTAAATCTACGCGATGTCAAGCTCCACCCCCATCTACTTTGGAATCACTACACTCTACAAGTCTTGAATAAAAACAAAAATCAAGCTTGGTCATGGTCTCAAACCTGTCTCCTCTGGCCATTCGAGGCGCTCCCGGACGGTCGCCATCTCTTCCACATGTCTGGCCTCGAATGATTCAGGAACTCCAAAAGGAAATGGACAAGAAAAGCAAATGACTTTTGGCTCTTAAACTCCACCGAACGTGACATCAAGATGTTTTGCCGTCACTGCCAATCCTGCAGTTCGTTATGACTGTTATGCCAATCCCCCAGTCAACATCCACCAACCACCAGCCACCAGCTACCCACCTCTACCAGTAAATCCCTCTCGACTCTAACCGACTCGAATCACTGGCCTGCTGTTCATCGGAGGTTTCAGGCCAAAGCAACCGCCCGGTGTCGTCCTCACGGCCGGGTGGGGGAACCGACGCCACCGGACGTGTTTCAGGTGTCGGCCTCAGTACCTCTCTGAGGTACCTCTGAGTACCTTTGATTGACTTACTTCCGAGTAGCTGGTACCAAGTGAATCAGGTGATCTAGTTGATGAAGCATTGCTGGTTTCACACACTGACGTGACAGTAGCTTGAGGCCATGGCGAAGGAAACTCCTTTCTCCACGATCCCTGGGCGCCAAAGTGGAGCGGAATTCTTAGAGTTTGCCCCAGAGGTGCCCCAGAGCTGCCCGACGCCAGTCATCAATCTGGATTTGCCACTAGTAGCAAGAGCCACTAGTAGCAAGGAGGATCACTAGTGGCCACTAGTAGCAAGAAGCCACTAGTTTGTCAATAGCAAGAAGCCACTAGTAGCAAGGACGCTATTTCTCACAGGATCCTTTTTGCCATCCTCTGCCCTTTTCGATTCGATGTTCCATGCAGTGTTCCTACTAAGACTGACCCACTAGCGGTCACCAGCGATCCTAGATCTGGACCATTCAAAGGACGAGGAACCGGACATGACAACTGGCACAAAGAATGCACCAACAATCGGTGAATGGTGGAGGAGCATGGCAGGAGCCATAGAGTGCAATAGGCATTCATGACATGACCAACCGCATGTCAAGGTGCCAAGGTTGGATCGAAACGCGTTGCGCGTGCGAAAGGACCAGAAACCACTCACCCCCAACACTTTCAGTGTCAAGTATTTAAGAAATGGAAGAACAACCTCGCACAAATACCTTCTCGTTTGGAGACAGTGAAGTGTGAGCTAGGGTAGGTGGGGGTGGGGGTGTGGTCCCGGGGTAGCCCCAAAAGAAGCCCCCAGTTCCACAAAATGTTCCAAAGCATCGCGCAGCCGACCCAAACGACCCACACGACGTTCTGCTCAGTGACGTTCTGCAACGCCTTTGGCCATGTGCTTGGGTATAGAGGAGCCTGTCACATGCCTCAGCGAACTGAGGTGTCTAGAGAAGAGTTGTGGACCCCAAAGACCGGCTTTCGCGATAACAAAGCGTTGCTGGGATCGTTATCGCCCAAATCCCATGCTTCTTCCAGAAGTCCAACCCAATTTCGTCGATCGAAAGGTCTTCGGTCCATCTGAACGACGGAGGGACCGGAAAGCCAGGCCGTTCCAGTCAGTTCAGCTCCACAAGTCCGATGGAACTCGTTCAAGGACGAGTTCCATGAGCCGATCTGGTTCTGTTCTCCGGATGGATCGCTATTAGTAACAAGTGCATCGCTTCTAGTAGCCGATCTGGAATCGAGATCCGGAAGCGCCAAGCCGCTCGATGGCCGCTAAGTGCTCCATCTCCTCGTGTACCTGAGCATGGAGGTGACTACCAGTTCTCAAGTCTCCTGAGTCTCTCCTCTCCCCTTTGCAGGACAGGAATCGATGGAGGCCATCGCTACTTGTAACAAGAAGCTACTAGGTCGGAGGCCATTACTACTAGGAGCAAGGACGTTACTAGGAACAACAAGCTACTAGTAGCTCCTGGCATCGCTACTAGAAGCAAGGACGCTACTAGGAACAAGTGCCTCGCTACTAGTAACAAGAAGCTACTAGTAGCTCCTGGCATCGCTACTAGAAGCAAGGACGCTGCTAGGAATCGATGCTTGCTGGTGGGTCAAGCCAGTGGATTGCTGGGATTGGCACCCAACGCTCGAGTGGGCGCACCGGGAAAAGCCGATCACCAGTGTAGAGCGTGCTGAGCAAACAGCCCAGACTCCACATGTCGGCGGTACAGCCTGAGGGGGCAAAAACAAATGCTACTGGGAGCAAAGGGCATCGCTACGAACGGAGCGATCGGACGCTACTAGTAGCTCCTGGCCTTACTACTATAGGAGCAAGAAGCTAGTGCAAAACGGAACGAATTCAGCAAAGAGTCGTTCCAACATGTTCCAACGACTCTTTTCAGGCGACATTTACGACTGCAGCTTCAGAATTCATCACCCCAACCCCCCAAGTGCACAGGAGAGGAACCCCAATCCAAGCCCAAGATCACTTCTGGCGCGCGGATATGTCGAGCACCACCGCGGCGCGTGGACTTGGGTCCTACCGGTGACGGGACCGAACTCGCCCGCTGCACCGCTCCGAGTCGGAGGTTTTTCGAAAAAAGGAGCGTCCACCGGGCCGGACAAGTTGCCAGGCCCTTGTCGTGTTTTTCTATTTGTTTCTTGTGTCTAATAGCTTCTTGTTCCTACTAGCAAGGCACTTGTTACTAGAAGCGATGCACTTGTTACTAATAGCTTCTTGTTGTTTTTTATATTTCTTGTTTCTATTAGCTTCTTGTTCCTAGTAGTACGGCCAGGAGCCACGTTCGTAGCGTCCGATCGCTCCGTTCGTAGCGATGCCAGGAGCCCCTAGTAGCTTCTTGTTCCCATGCCTTGTGTTTTCTGTTGGTTTTTTTTCAGTCCTTGCTCCTGATGTGACATTCATGAGGTGTGCCTCCACCACGTCCATTGCAGAATGACTGGGGTTGAACAAACAAAGGTTTTCTCTGATCCATGCAGTAGAACTTCCCGGATCAATGCATTTGGATACACAGAAGCTTCATTGTTCCTACATCTTCCCAGGAATGCTTGGACCTGCTTCACCCGGTCGCTTTTCCTGCTTCTTCTCGTGTAAAAAGAAAGGCTTCCGGGCCTCAGCTGTGTTTTTGGGTTCACAGTCGGGCCTCACCTGCGAACACTACCGGGCAAACCATTGCAACCAAAACAAAGGCCAAGCACATACAACGGTTCGGTATCGTTCAGTAGTGTTCCTATTCCCAATACCAGGTACCATGCATAGCATGCGAAATTATCTAAACATAGTTGTGCAACATGAGCCAAGAAGCTTGTCTCTGGCTCGATAATGTTGGCCAAGCCAAAATCTATGACAACAACCTGCGGAATGGTGATCTTCGCTTGCTCTCGCCAAAAGAAAAAGCAATTGGAGGTCAGAAAGGGCCTTCTGCCCCCCCAAACTAAGACCCAATTGCCAGTGATGCTGCTGTGTAAAGTTGCTGTTGGTCCAGGCAAATGATACAATGGGTTAATGATGGTCGATGCACAAACTACAAGTCTCACCTTTAAACATGAAGCTCTCGGTCGGCAAATGAGTCCATTTTAGACATATTTCCCCAAACAGGTTTACCTGTGAGGGGTTCTTACTCCTTTTAAAGGGGTGCATGCTCGGGCCGGATGCTCTCAGTGCTCTGGCCGCATGATTTCAGGCTTGTCTCCCATTTGTCTCCCACTTGTCTCCCAGTAAGCTCTGGATGCTCTCAGTGCTCTGGCCGCATGATTTTATACTTGTCTCCCATTTGTCTCCCACTTGTCTCCCAGTTGTCTCCCGGTAAGCTCTCGATGCTCTCAGTGCTCTGGCCGCATGATTTCAGGCTTGTCTCCCATTTGTCTCCCACTTGTCTCCCAGTAAGCTCTGGATGCTCTGAGTGCTCTGGCCGCATGATTTCACACTTGTCTCCCACATGTCTCGACTTGGCTCCCAGTAAGCTCACTTGTCTTCCACTTGTTTCCCATGGCCTGTCTGGATG